TTTCATGTGACATCCCACATGCATACCTATTTTGTTGAAACGACTGTTCAATTCTTTGGCATATATATATATATATATATATATGATTATTGTTGAGTTTCAGAATTCTTCTGATGCAAGTCCTTTGTTGAATGTGTGATATACAAACTCAGTTTGAAGTGTATCTCAATAGTGGTTTTTTTTTTTTTTAATTTTATTTGTGTGTGTGTGTGTGTGTGGCCAGCTCAGCCCACCAGGGGCGCGGCTGGCTGGCATGTGGTGCTGGGGGATTGAACTGTGGTCCCTGTCTGTGCTTTGCTAAGCTTGTTCTAAGTAGGTGCTTTAGACCACTGAGCCATCTCACCAGCCCCCTCTCAATAGTGTTTAGCAGAGCAAGAGTCACTAAATTTTGATTAGTTGCATGTTACAATTTTCTATGGATTATGTGCTTAGTGGTATATCTAAGAACAGTTTTCCTAAGCCAGATTCAGAAAGATATTTTCCTATATGTTTTTCTAGAAGTTTAAAATTTTATGTTTTTGTACAACATGCATTTTTAGTTCAGATTTCAAGTTGTGAGGCTGATTGAGGTTTCCTTTCCTTTGCACACGGAGGTCAGTTATTTGGGTATCGTTTGTTGAGACAGAGTCTTGTTGTGTAGCTCAGGTTAGCTTTGCACTCATTACATAGGGCAAGCTGGCCTTGGATATACAGTAATCCTCCTGCCTCAGCCCCCCAAGTACTGAGATTATGGAGTGCGCCCCCAAACCTGGCTCCTGTGGCTGTTGCACATCAGCTGGCCGTATTGATGAGCTCTCATTCTGAAGTGTCTGGTGTTCCTTTGATCTGTGTCGACACTGCACCCGCCTGTGCTTTTACGTAGTAAGCCTTAGTGTAGGGCAGTGTGAGTCTTCCTGAACTGTTCTGTTCTTCCTGCCCTTGGGCTTCTGCTTCACCTCCATCCATCTGTGTATCCTTTTGTATATTTAAGTCGGTGTAGACATAGGTTGCTGCTTTATTACTATCATTTACTTTCTTGCTCAAATTCTCTAAATTGGACCTGTGGGGAATAGATTCTCTTGTTCTTTGGACATTTCCTTTCTTTCTGGCATAACAAAATATTCAAGGCTCATTTTGTAATAATGCTACTGCAAGCTAGAATAAACTATTTCCCTTCCTCTCCTCACCATAAACAGTGAAACTGAGTTTCAGAACAAGGTAGTAGGGGCCAGAGAGAGCTCAATGCTATGAGCACCGGGATCTGGCTGGGTTCATTCCCCGGTACTGCACGCATACTGGCTCCGCACCAAGCTGGCCACCAAAACTGGGTGTGCTGGTGCACTCCTGTAGTCCCCGCACTTGGAGGCTGAGACAGAAGGAGCACTACAAGTCTCAGCTGTGTAGCGAGACCCTGTATCAAATCAGTCAATCAATCAGTCCCCCCAAAAAAACACAACAGGTTAGTAGCACAGTTACATAGTTGATACGGAACGTTTTGAAATTTATTCTTTTTTTTTTTTTTTTT